TGATTGAATGCCGGATGGAATGAAAGCGGCGCCCACCCAGCGGGAAAGTGAGAAGTAGGTTTTTAGAAGTAGGTTTTCGGTTTTAAGACTACTGGAAATCCTGCTTCTTTTAGCAGGCGTAGGGGTAGGAGTTGAAAATTTTGGTCCGCTAAATAAGGGTGGGTTTCTGAAACCTGTGGATTTTTACATAGAAACCTCCTTTACCCCTTCCTTTTGTGTGTCACCCCCGTGTATTTTGAAAGGAGAGACGGCAAAAATGTAAGGGGTGAAGGAGGTTTTTGCCCTTCCGCTTGTATGAAGAAATCTCTGGAAAATAGCATATCTTCCACATCGTTTTTCCCGCTGGGCAGGCGACGCCGACAAAGGGCAGCTAACAAAACGCTTTTCGTTAGTTTTCATTATTTTCCGCATTTAAGCGTATTTATTCCGTTGTTAATCGAATTTATTAAATGCAAACACGCCAACAAATGGCGTCCAGGACTTTATATACACAGAGCGCAAAAGCGGGGGAACTCGGCACGCACCTTTTTCGTTGGCCACCCACCTTTTCACCTTTTTGGGTTTAAGCCAAACTGGGTGCGTTTTGTTTGCCCCGAGAAGTAATGTTTCTCGCATGCCGATTGCCCTTCCTGCCGGCTGCTAATTTTACGCATTTCACGCAGCTCCACGAGAATGAGGAGGGGGAGGGGGAAACACCCTCCAAGATCCTGGAAGCGTACGTCATTAAATGTCTCTATTGCCGGGTCTAACAGCCACAACACACACACACACACACACCTAAGTGAATTATCCCCGGCGCAGATTCTAATCCTTTGTAAGGCACTTACTTTCAGTTGGCAGATTTACCAAGAAAATACAATTAAGGTGTGCGATGCAATTGCACAACCATAATTTAAACAACTAACTAGTCAGTCAGTTGGTTGTATGTTTAAATTATTAATTACCTTTAAAACGTTTTTGTTAATTCTAATAATCCTTTTACCAACTAAGAAATTTGAAAGATACACATTTAAATAATATTAATATGATCACTGGTGTGATTTTACTTTTAATTTTACTTAGAATGTTTAGAAGCAGAAAGTGAAATAATTCTAGTGAAGGTTTTTTTTTGCATTTTGAAACTTTTTGACTGCCTTCTAGCAACTAATTGTAAGCTCTTTGCTATCAATGCAAGTAATGACAAATGCTGACAAGCGATTTAATCACCTAAACCTCAGCAAATGTACTTCAAACCATATTTTTTTTTTTTTAGAGATTTTCGTTGCAGTCCAAAGAAATGGCATTCATAAGATGGACAGAGAGCTCAAAAAAAAAAAAAGGAAAAAGAAAGAACTGCATTTGTGAGCAGCTGGCAAATGGAGCCCAACCGAATCAAATTGAAAGAAACTTTGCGCATTAGCTTCCAAATGCCAAAATGCCCAGCGACAGACAGACAGCGCCAGTTGGTCCGGCCAACTTTGGTACCGCCTTGGCCACGCCCCCCTTTCCGCCCCTCGACTTCCGGAAACTTTTGCATTTCGGTCTGGCCAAGAAATGAGCAACTGGCCTCATATGTCAATGGTTTCTCTCTGTTTTTTTTTTTTTATTTTCAGCATTGTTTGCTTGCATTTTTATTCGCCCACGCGAAGATGGCGCCAACTGCAGTGTTCGCACCTATTCGTAGTGCCAGGAATCCTTTTTACCCCTTTTCAGATTTAGCTGATTTGAAGTAAGTCATCCTCCTTCAGACCTGTCACACACACATCCAAACACACACCCATACACACACACCACCCCTTTGCTGTTATTATTTTGGCCGCCATTTATTTGCTGTCAATGTTTGGGGAACCCACTGAGCCACCCACTGAACCACCCACTGAACCACCCACCTGACGTGGCCGCAGCCGCCGGCCTGGCTGTCCGCTTTCTTTTTTTGTCTCCCCGATATCATTTTCATTTTAAAATGTCCTCGGCAACGACAGCGAAGACGCCTCCTAGCAAGAGTCCAGCTATCCTCAGTCCTGCTTTCTTCTCCACAGTTCTATGTTCTATTTTTCACTGAGGGAAATCCTTACGATTTAAGAGTTTCTTTTAAAGTAGTTAAAATATAAAAAAATAAAAATTTTAAAATATGTTTCAATTTAAAAATGTATCTTTTACTTTTAAGTCTCTTGTTTCTTGTTCTTTGGTAAAAGGTAACCATGTTAGTTACATTTAGTTCTCATATTTATATATTTGTATATATCCAACCATAATTTCTGAGGGTTCTTTGATATCTCAAATTAGTAAATTTAAAAACCAATCTAATAATTTAAGTACTGCTTCCTTGAAAAGCTAATACCAATATGTTGATTTGTAAATTCATCCGCAAACAATCAGCAAAATGTAGTTTTACAATCCCTGCTACAAAAATAAGATTATTGTGTTTCAACCACAAAATCCGAAATTGTTTCGAGTGCATGTTTTGCCATGTTATTCTAGTCCTTTTTGTGCCAGCTCCTCGAAGACAATTTGGGGCTAGGACTCGGTTTTTGGCCAGGCCGGGGCCACTTTATAAATGTTTCTGCAATGGATTTTTGCAAAGTAAACTTTTTGCTCCTTTTGCTCGTTCGTCTTTTGTAGTTTTTCGGGGCCCGCATCTGATTGCGAGTGTGTGACATTTGTGGGGGCGGAGTGTGGAGTGGGGGGGAGTGGCAAGTAAATATATTAAAATGCAAACCCAACTCATATTACCGAAGGCCAGGATTGAGGGGCGGACAGGACTTCAGCTCCGAAGTCCTTGCGCACACATGTGCGCAATTTCCAAGTCCGTTTTCGGCCATTGGCAATGCCCACCAAATAAATCGAATGCACAAAAAAGCAATAAAACGAAATAAAATCTAAATATGTATGCTCTCGAGTGTCGCCCTTTTTTCCAGGAAAAGGGGAAAGGGGGGAAAATGTGGGTGGAGATGACAGGGAAAAACAGAAGGCGGGCACAAGAAGAGCAAAAAAAAAAAAAAAAAAATAAAAGAAAAACTTATCATTTTTATCATTGCGCAAAAGTTTATCCTTTTTGGCTCGGGCCGTTAATATTTTCGATTCGGATTTCGAAATGGCCAAAAGTCCCAGGACCGCCCCTTTTTACCGTTACTGCTCGGAATTTCAAATGACTTTGGCTCGTTCCGAAGCTTATTGAATGTTTATGCTTTATTAAATTTGATTTCTCCTCTCTGCACCGCCAACGTCTTTTCTCCATTCAGTCAAGTCAGTCGGTCGATGGGTCTTACTAAACTGACCAAGTGCTGGCCAACATTTGTTGCAATGATCTATGTGCCCTGAATATTAAACGACACTCGGGGCTTAGAGCGAGCTGGGGAAAACCGGTCCAAGGATGAAACTCAGTTCGGCTCTGAAGCCAGGGCTATTATCATTTTAATGCGCGTTAAATGCGACATTTGCGACATCGGACAAAGTGCGTGTCATGTGCTTAAGAGCACAAACAACCCGAAAGGAGGCAGGAATAAGGATCTTATCGAATCATATTTGTAACGCATTTCCTTACACTGAGAATAGGGGTATTAAAAAAGTGGATAAAAGTGAATGCTTATTATAACAGTAACAGTAACTTTTGAAATATATAATCTACATAACAAAGTGTGAAGTTAAAAAAAAACAATTTAATAATCACCCAAATTGGTTCAAGTAGAAACCAATCTGATATTGACAATTAAAATTATCTTAATGATGTGACAAACACTTTCTACAAAAAGAGTATAGGATATCTTTGATATTTTATACTACTTTTTAAACATTATCATATCAAAGTGCCTAAAAAACAGGCCCATAAAACTTCCCCCAGTGCAACTTATCTGCACATCCTTCCGCTTCACAATCGAATGGTAATCATAATCACAATAATCGTAATAGCAATGGCCGTAGTTATGTCGATAGCAATAGTGTTTTGGTAATGGCAATAATCATTTTTTGTCGTCCGTTGTGAAGAACATTTGCACATACGTGAATGGCCGGACATTACGTACCCCAAATCGAATGTGTTTATAATCACACGCCGAATGTCCTGGCCAACAGTTGCTACATATCCTTGGCCTAATGCGACACGTGCTCCGCGCATATTTCTTGGCACTCTGGACGGGATTGGGAGTGGGATTTCACTGGGATCTACTGGAGTTGAGGTTCTAGATTCAGGATTCTGAATTCTGGTTTCTGTTTCTGTTTTCTGGACCAGCGACAGTTGGTTATGGGCCTAATGATTACCGCCCATATGGGTTGGTCAGCTCGTTAGGATCGAACATCGGCCAAAATTAAGCTTGTTTATTATTCGTTAAGGATATAGAATATGGGGATATTCGATTTGGTCACTTGTGAGTTTCACTGCTTAAATGCTAGACTAATTCTACGGCTTAGGAAGATATTTGTAATAGTTTTACACATGAATATTGAATGCAATATATATGCCATAAACCGATAAATGCCCAAAAATAATTTTAATTTTTTTAGTGCAGCCAATTGTTGATTTAGATTGATTTTTATCGGCTTGTCATTTTTGTTTAGTTAGTTACATCCTACAAATTTTACAAAATAATGCAAATCATATACAACATTATTGTTTTCGTTTGCTTTTGAAATAATACAGAACAGGCAAACATTCGATTAATCGATAAAATCGTTTTAAATTTGTATACAAAATTGTTTTTATTTCTTACTGCACTCCATTCTTTTTGTTGTCTTAAAAATATCAGATATTCGATTTATGCCAATTAGTTTTGTTTTTGATAAGGTGAGCTCCCTAATTGTTTATCGATAAATCGACAGTTAGTTACTATGCAAAACAGTCTGGCAAAATGCAAATCATATGTGTAATCTTTTTTGTTTTTGAACACTCTTGTTCCAATCGCTTTGTAAATCATACACAAGAGGCAAATATTCAATTTGGTTCCGTATAATAAAGTGTAAACGAATGGCAAGCTCGTAATTGATATATATAATTGAAGGATATTGAAATGGAGGACTGGACTTACCGAAATCACTGTTGATGCCGGAGGGTCCTGGCAGAAGACCAGGAATTCCCTGCAGGCCGAGGAATGCATTGGGAAACGAGTGCGAGCGCTGATTGTCGATCCCGTCGAGGGTGCCATCGTGCTGACCATCACCTCGATCCGACGGCTCCGTGTCGCTGCTGTTCGAATCCTCGCCCGCACTTTGGCCGAGATCGTGTTTCTGGAGTTGAAGAAAAAATCAAGTTTATAATCTAAGGAGTTTCGTAAAAACAAAAAAATTATAACTTATTCATTACAAATTGCATAAATCATTGAAATTTTTAAGGTTTAGCAATTTGCGATTACAAAATATAATATAAAGTAGCAAAATTTGCTTAAGCTTTTTATAATATCTGAAGTAATATAAACTAGTCCGAAAACAAAACATTTTAAAGTGGCCATACTTGTTTTTTTGCAAACTTAGTGTTTGCTACATTTTATGATTGGTATTTTATGGTTACTTGGATTTAAGTTAGATTTAATAACATAATCCTAAAATATGTTTGGGTTAACCCACCTGATTGGCCTGCTGTCCGTTGCTGTTTTCCAGAGCCTGTCCGAGTAGCGATTCCCTCAACTCCATGTTGCGTTCCCGATCCTTTGAGGTGTCTCGACCGCTCCTGTTTCGAGTCAGGGGATGTTGTCCTGCCACAGGGAATTCCCGATCGAGCAGCAATCGCTCCGGACTGATGCCATGTTGGGCCCTAAACAAATCGGCGCTCTTGATGCGTTTCTGTGGCGGCGGCGTTAAATGGCTCTTCCGACTGCCCTCCATTTCACCCAAATCCCAGTGATTGCTGCTGCTGGCCTAAAATAGGAGATAAATAAAAGGATAATGGATAATGATTAGTAAAAGTCTGGTGAAGAGCAACCAAGTCGAGTGTAAAGCATTTCTTGGAACTGCACACTTTACTTTGCTGGGATTGGGATTCGGGTTTCTTACGGGCGACGCTGCCGACGATGCTTTCAGCTCCTGAATGGCGGGCGTACCGCTCGTACCGCCAATGGGTCCGCTGGCACTGTTGCTATTTCCGCTGCTGCCGCTCGCTGTTGCTGCCGCTGCTGCTGCCACGGCGGCGGTTAGGGAAGCGGCCGCTGCTGCCGCTGCCACTGCACTGGAAGCGGTAACCGGTGGCGGAATTGGTGGCGCACTAAACGGTGAATTCAGGCTGCTGTTCAGGGATCCACTGTTGTTGTTGTTGCTGCTGCTGTTGTTACTGTGGTTGTTGTTGCTGTTGCTGCTGCTGCCACTCGTTTGATTTTGCGGCAAGTAGCTGCTGATTTTGTTGTGGTTACTGCTCTCCGATAAATTGTTGTTATTGTTGCTGCTGCTGTTGTTGTTGTTGCTGCTGCTGTTGCCACTTGTGTTGCTGCTGCTGCTGTTGTTATTGTTGTTGTGACTCAAGGCAGCAGACAGGGCCTTCGAGTAGGGATAACCGCCGTTGACATCCGCCAAACCGCGAATCTGCAGCAGGTGTGCGGTCTTCAGGAAGTCGGGCAACTGTTCGTGGCTCACGTTCACCTCGCCATTGTACATAAAGCTATGGGAAACCAGGGGAGAAATCAACCATGAATCAAGTGATTTAATAATTTAAGTGGGGATATTTGAAGGTGCAAAAAAAGTACATTGAAGAGTTCAATGCTGAAGCATTTAAGGCTTAGTAAGGCTGAAAGATTATCAAGTTATTATCATACAAAAATTTAGTAGGACTTCTAAGCATGACCTTTGTTTTTATAATTTTTTTAAGCAAAAACAAAAAAAAAAACTATAGTAAGGATACATTTTACAGTTGCATACATTTAATACAATACGTTTAAAAGGTTATGACTTTAAAACTGTAAAAATGAGTGGGCATACATTTACTAAAAGCAAATACCGTTATAAAGGTTTACATAAGTGATGCTATAATACTAAGATACGTATACATTTTAAAGCAATATCTTGATCTACAATATATCATGAAAATTGGACCAAAGAAATACAAAGAAATCTTTTTAATTAGTTTCTTTAAGTTAGTTTCTTGCCAAGAGATGTTAGTAACCATATGTAATATAGAGAAATTAATTTTTCTTTATCTCAAATTTATTGTTTATGGAGCCCCCACTGCATTATATCCCAAATGAGGATTTAAATAAAGGATTTCGAATTATACTCACCTCAGCAGATTCTCCACATCGTCGCAGCGGACGTCGCGCAGGATGACGATCGGGTGCTCGCAGGGATTGGCCTTGAGCAGCCGGCGGAAGTAGGGGCTGCAGGCGCTGAGGACGACCTTGTGGGCGGTGAAGGAGCGTTCGTCGCAGGCCAGCGTCACGTCCACGAAGTCCTCCTCATCCCGCAGATGCCGGAAGGAGCTGAGGATCGAGCTCTGGAAGTCGTTCCACTTGAGGGCATAATGCTGCTGGTGCTGCGAATTCTGTTGCTGCTGCTGCTGCTGCTGATGGTGTGAGAGGTTGAGGGAGGAGGGCGGGGGCGTGGCCGGCGAGAGGGCGGAGCCGGTGGCGGCCATCGACAGCGAGGAGAGGGAGGAGAGGGCGTGGGCGGCGGCGGCGGCGGGAAACGGAAACGGAGGAGGTCGCCGGCGGCGGGGGCTCCATTTTGACCACGCCCGCGTTGTTGTTCTCCGCCGTCTGCAGCTGTGTGGATTCGGTCATTTAAGTGGACCTCGTCTCGCCGGTCTTAGGGATTCCAATTGCCGGAGGAGGACTGTCTTCCTAATGGCTCCCCTCGTCGTCGTCTTTTGTGGGCTAATTCCTTGGCTATTGTCACACAAAAGCCTTTGCTTTTCACTATTGTGTGTGTAGTTCCCTTCTTCTGTTATTTTTTTTTTGTTTTTTGTGGTAGCCTGGCAAATATTTGCAGTGCCCGTCCGAGTGTGTGGATTTTCCGGCTTCTCTGCTAATTCGGCGGCAGCCTCGCACGGCCTTTGTCCATTTTCACCGGACTCTGTTTGCCGCGGCGCCCATGGACGGAGCTATTTGCTATTAGCTAAAGCTGCAATACAACAAAAAAAAAAGAATCGAAATTAGGTTCAGTCTTCGCGTGGCTCAAATCCAAATACAATTGCTAGGGCAGGTGGGCCAATCATTAAATATTATTACCAATTATTCATACATAAGCAGCGGGACTGGGACGCGGACTGCCGCTGGATCCGCGGTTGGTCTAATGAAACCATTAATTACACCACCGGACCCTTCGAACCTCCAAAACCTCCGAACCAGCGAACCTCCGAGAGCGACCCACTTGTCGGGGGCATTAGACGCAAATCAATTTAATTTAACCGTTTACAAGCCACAAAACAATCGACCTGAAGTTGCCCGCCACTCCAAAGATCTTTGACTTACACTTGCAGAAAATTATATTAAAAGGTGAAACAATTGAATTAATTAAAAAAAACTTCCTCTTCAAAATTTTCTAGAATTTTATTAGAATTATTTTGAAGTTTGTTATGAACATTTGGATCTTAACTTTGATAACAATTATTTATTTTAAAACATCTCCCATCAATTGTATTTTCCTATTGGACAAGACAAGATATATGAACTCTACTTTTTAGTTTTTAAAGAAAGTATTATTCTGTAGATAATAAAATATCAATACGCTGCACAAAAATACTCCTTTATATTATACAAACCCTGATTAATTTTTCAAGTGCACAAAATAATTGTACAAGATCATTAGAAGAGGTAACCAACAACAATCCATCCATCTTCACATGAGCTGCCGTTCTCCTTACAAGAAGAGGGGAAAAAACCAACCTGATCGATGTACCACCATCAAAATATTTATAAACGCATATATCTCTAGGTTTCGGGTTCATCTCGTCGCTGGTCTTGGATTACGATCACTATGAAGATTCGGATTACATCTTTTGCCATCGGATAATATTAGGAAAGGCGGAACTTCCCAGCCCAAATAGCTTATTCCCTCACAAATTCTATGGCTGCAATTGGCGCCTGCAGTTGCAGGTTGGTAATTTTTCATGGTACATGTGGAATTCCGCTCGAAAATCATGTTCACAATTTCCATGGGTACTCACTCACTTACTCACTCTTTTGCGGCACTGACTCACGTCGGCAATTGATTAATGATGGGGTATTTTAAACTCGATTATGGCCATCACTTTTGGCCGTGACTAAGACGATCGAAGGAGGCTGGCCAGCAATGCACCCATTTCATTTGAAGCTGGTGAAGCACTTGGTAAGGGTTAATTGCGCAATGAGTGAACGCCGAGCAGTGTAATTAAAATAGTTGGGGAATTCCAAAGTATGAGTGATTAACAGAGCCTTTCTCTATACTAACACTTTGTCTTTACAAAACCTTATAGATGTACAATAAATATATTGAGCATTACATTAGATCGAGCTAAAGTAATCGAAGAAATTTGAGATCAAAAAAATATATTTTTTGAGTTTGTTGACATTTAGCAAGGGATTGAGTGGTAAAAAACTTAGGGATTGTTTAGTGTACTAACTTTCTATAAATCTTGAGTAAATGTAAAATAAATACAGGTTATATTTTGATAAGATTTCTTTAAAATAATAATAATATTAAATAATAAATAATATTTAGAAACATCCTGAGACAAGTGTTGTTTTTTTTTGGTGTTCTTGGAAAGTCTAGAACCAATACCCTCTGAAAAAAAAACATTACCAATGAGGTAGGCTGACACCCCCTATCAAACCATTTGCGTTGCTTTGCGCTTCGCTGAGCTGCGTGCATTTGTTTGCGCTAATTTATGAAGTAACCCAAAACAATTTCATCATAACACATTTGCTGGCAATTATTTCGTTTATTGAACAAACATTCGAAGCGCCTCGCCTCGCACATCGCATAAATTCGGGGGGGAGGAGGAGGAAGGGGAGCGGGGGGAGGGGCAACTGCCATACAATAACTAACCCGGCCAAGACACAACGAAATAAAACAACAGATAGTTTCCGGCTTGGTAACCGAAAAATATGTAAATGAATGGGGCACGGGGCAAAAAAGGCAGCAACAAATACGCTTTTCACATGTAATCAGCAGGATGTGTGTGTGTATAGAAAGTGTGTGTGTGTGTGTGTGTGTGTGTGTACAGGACGCAATTGCATTCAGCATGCCACACTTCAAATGTTCAACTTTCAAATGGCAGCGCAGTGGCAACTGCCTAAAAACAAAACATTTCACAATTTGCGTTGAACAACAAAACCCAGTTCGTTTTGGCAGCCAAAAAAGGCCAAAAGCTATTTGTATGTGTATTAGTATTTCTGTGTGTGTGTGTGTAATTGAAAGGAATACTGCCAGTGGAATATCCTGAGGGGGGCAGGAGTTGAGCGTAACATAATAACAAATAAATGTAAATGATAATGGTAAATAAAAAACGAATTACTAAACAACACACAATCATCTGCAAATACACAGATATCTAGGCGTGTGTATATGCGCACACCCATCAGGATATATATATAACGATCCACATATAGTACTATATATATATATATGACTGGGCAAACACGCGTATGAAAAAGGGTTGGGGTTTTTGTATCTAGAACTGCGGAAACGGCAGCAACAACTGCTGTTGGCCATGGGCACAATCAAATTTGTACTAACTATTTGAACACCCCGAAAACTTTTCGCCCGAAGGGTATATTGAATTGGTAGAATATTCTGTCGCAGCCTAAAATAAATAAAATAATATTTTTGAAGAGACATTCTTTTATGCCTTGCTTCTATCCCCAAGCGTTAAAATGTAAAATAAAAAATCATTTTCTTTTGTCTAGAAAAATATTGTATAAAATGTTGTAATAAATTCAATTATTCTTTGCAAATCTAACACAAAAATCACTGAGTATTCGAAGCTCTTGTAGCTAAACTCTCACTTTGTCACTTGTTATTTTTGGTAAAATGATACCATGCCTTGGCAAGTGAACTAAGTTCCTTGGCAAATATATTTTACCCCATCCACCAAGCGTCTTCACAACCCCCTATATTTTCCGACTTGTACACTCCAGCCATCCATCCATATCAATCCTAACTTGGATTCGAGGAAGGAAGGGCCGCGCGTTATAATGATGATTGTTATTTTTACGATTTGCATTTGAGCTGTCAGTGGGAGAATCATTGAATGTACACAAAGTCCGAGGTACAAGTAGCTCCTTTCAGTATAAAAGTATCTGTGTGTGTGCGTGGGTATCTTTTTTGTTGTTTCTCTCATTATTTTTACAGTTATGTTTATGTCGTTTATGACTTCATATTGTAGGGCGTTCGTCCTTATAAAGGGAAAGTGATGGGGAAGCCATAAACAAAATTCACGCATGAACATTAAATCAGGAAATTGACTAAAATTGGTTTAGGATAGAACCATTTCGGAAATTGATTGAGTGCCAAAAACAAGTTAAAAAACTATGTTGAAACGTATTCAGTTTGATTTAATTTGAATTTTTCAGGACTCTGTTTGATTAGTTTGCCTGGAAAATGTTGATTAAATATGACGCAAATGTCAAATCGAATTAAAAGCGATGTCAACAATGCAATTTTAGCACAGCCTAATAGAGAGGACCCTTCCCTCCCCGAATTTCCACATCTTTTTTGCTTTTTTTGGGGGAGGAGCAAAAGGAGAGGACCCAACTCAATGCAAGCAAATTAGTTAAAAACCAATTAAAATCGCTCATCCGCCACGTTGACCAGGCCGACGCCACACGATGATTGCGGGGGCGATTCCCAACCGTATGTATATGTATATATATTTTAGATAGCCGTACATAGGGTAAATGTATGTATTTGCCCCTGTGTGCAGTCTACACACGATTCGGGAGGAAATATTCTAAAAATCCAAATTAGAATGTCAATAAAATGCCATTTTTAATGAAATAATTAATTAGATTTTGCACATCAACAATCTAACACGCATTTGCGGCCCAAACACCCAATCGTATGTATTTATCTATATGTGTATCTATGTTTTCTATGCGAATAAAACCGATTTTAGAGGTGAGCCGTGAGTGGATATTTAAAATTTAATTAGTTGGATTTCTCTTCTAATAAATATTCTCAAAGATAGTTCTTATAGAAAAAAGGAATAATATAAATTCTTTGACAATGTTATAATCTGTTTCTTTTTTTTTTATTATCTAAATTATTTTGCAGTAGAAAAAATGTCTCAAAATAAGACCATTTCTGTTTTGTTTATACCTCAATTTTTGTGTTTTTGTGCTGATTTATTCGTATTGTACTGCACATTTTTAGCCGAAAAATCTCTCACGCTCACATATCAAAAACAGATGTATAAATTAGCATACACAGCAGCACAAACGTTATAGTTGAATTTAGTTGTTGGCCACCATTTTGTTTAGAATTCGCCTCACTTGTCACAGTGGCTTTTTTTTTTAATTTGCATGCGTTTCTATCTCCATTTTCCTTATTATTCATCATGGGCATTTCCATTCTGTTGTGTTTTTCTGCTGGCAGCAGCGCGATTTGTTCGATTTTCAATTATTTAAATGGTTTTATTTTCGCTAGCCTCACATACACTCATTTGCATTTCTGGAACCAATCCCTGCCCCATTCCCCCCAAAAAAATCATCGCCCTCGAGTTGGACACGCATCAAAGTGGCACTCAATGGCAGGAAAAAAACTAAAAAACGATAAGAGAACTAAGATGGAACACTGGCAGTGACTTTTCCTAATTGCCTCCGAGAATTTAAATTGAGACATGAAATTGAATAATTCAAAATAATTAGCAGGCCAGAAGACAGCTCAGTCAGTCAGTCGCAGTCTCATTCGCAGACTCATTCCCATTCCAATTCTACTTTTCAGTTCTCATTCCCATTCTCAGTCGCAGTCTGGTCGCGTAATTGCATTAATGATTTTGACAAATGACCGTCGCCAAAGTCGCCTTTGACTTTGACGTCGACTTGATGCAGATGAGAGGCAAAACTATATCAGGAAAAAGACTGGGCGACGGGTCCCATCATCTGAATTCATTACATTAAACGCGAAAATCAATCAAGGTGAGA